TATACCAATAAATTGGACAATCTGTAAGAAATGAATAAATTCCTAGAAACATACCATCTTCCAAGACAATAAAAAGAAACAAACTCCAACCAGACCAATTACTGCAAACATAATCAAATCAGTAATAAGAAAAACTCTCAACAAACAGTCCAGCACTGGATGGCTTCACGGGTGATTTTACCAAACATTCAAAGAAGAATTAACACCTATTTTTCTCAAACTACTACAAAAAAATCAGGAAGAGGTAAGGCTCCCAAGCTAATTTTAAGAGGCCACCATTACACCAATTCCAAAACCAGACAAAGACACTGATATCCCTGATGAATATACATGTAAAAATCCTCAAGTAAATATGAGCAAACCAAATTCAGGAATACAGTAAAAAGATCATACACCACAATCAAGTGGGATTTATTCTTGGAATGCAAGGTTAGTACAATATTCACAAATCAATTAATGTAATATACCACATAAATCAAATGAAAGATGAAAATCATATGAACATACCAATAAATGCAGAAAAAGTGTTTGACAAAATCCAGCACCCATTTATGATTTAAAAAAATTAAAAACTCAGCAAAGTAGGAATAGAGAGAGCATCCCTTAACATAATAAAGATCATATATAAGATACCCACAGCTAACATCATACTCAATGGTGAAAAGCTGAAAGTGTTTTCATTAAGATAAGGAATATGACAAGGATGTAGGCTTTCACCACTTTCATTCTACACAGTATTGGATGTCCTAGCCACAGCAATCAGACAAGAAAAATAAATAAAAGTTATTCAATTTGGAAAGAAAGAAGTAAAACTGTCATTATTTGCAGATGACATGATATTACTACTTATAGAGAATCCTAAAGATTCCACCAGAAAACCATTAGAACTAATAACTAAATTCAGTAAGGTAGCAGGATACAAAATTAATTCTCAGAAATCAGTTGCATTTTTTGTACACCAATAATGAACTATCGGAAAGAAAATTTAAGAAAACAATCTCATTTACAATTTCATCAAAAAATAAAATAAAATACCTAGGAATACATTTAACTGAGGAGGTAAAAGACCCACACTAATAAAATTATAAAACATTGAAAAAAATTGAATAAGATTCAAATAAATGGAAGCATATAATGTGTTCATGGATAGGAAGAATTAAATCTTTAAAATGTCTAAACTACCCAAAGCTATTTATAGATTAAATTCAATCATTATCAAAATATCAATGGCGTTTTCACATAACAAGAACAAAGAAGCCTAAAATTTATATGAAACCACAAAGACTGGAAAGCCACAGCAATTGGGAGAAGTAAGAACAAAGTCGGAGGTATCATGCTACCTGATATCGAACTATACTACACAGCTATAGTAATCAAAACAGCATAGTGATAGCATAAAAACAGACACACAGATCAATGGGATAGAGAAGAGAGCCCAGAAATAAATCCACGCCATACTGTTGAATTATACACTTGAAACTTATTTGATTTTATTAGTCAATGCCACCCCAATCATTTTTAATAAAAAAAGAGAAAGAAATCCATGCCTGTAGGGTCATTTAATCTATGACAAAGGAGGCAAGAATATACAGTGGGGTAAAGACAGTCTATTCAACAAATGGTGCTGGGAAAATTGAACAAATACATGCAAAAAAAAAAAAAAGATTGGACCACCTTCTTACACCATATGCAATAATAAACTCGAGATGGTTTAAAGACTTAAGTGAAAGACCCCAAACTATAAAACTCCCAGAAGAAAACATAAGCAGTAAACTCTTAGTAATATTTTTTTTTTTAATATGTCTCTTCAGGTAAGAGAAACAAAAGAAAAAAATAAACAAATGGAACTACATCAAACTAAAGAGTTTTTGCACAACAAATGAAACCATCAACAAAACAAAAAGATGACCTACTGAATGGGAAAAGATATTTGCCAATGACATATCTGATAAGAGGTTAATATCCAAAATTTATAGAGAACTCACACAACTCAATATATATATATATGTAAAATGGGAAGGGGACTTGAATACACTTTTCTCCAGAGAGGACATATAGATGGCCAATAAACATATGAAAAGATGCTCAATGTTACTAATCATCAGAGAAATGCAAATTAAATCAACAATGAGATATCCTCTCACACTTGTCAGAACGGCCATCATCAATAAATAAACAAACAAGTGTTGGCAAGGATGTGGAAAAAGGGAATCCTTGTGCCCTGTTGGTGGGTTTACATATTGGTGCAGCCACTATGGAAAACAGTTTGGAAGTTCCTCAAATATTAAAAATAGAACCAACTTATGAACCAGCAATTCCACCTCTGGGTATTTATCTGAAGAAATCCAAAACACTAATTTGAAAAGATATATGCACCCCTATGTTCACTGCAACACTATTTACAATAGCCAAAATATGGAAGCAACCTAAGTGTCCATCAATAAACAATTGGTTAAAACAGTTGTGGTACATACATACAATGGAATATTACCCAGCCATAAAAAAATGAAATTTTACCATTTGCAACAACATGGAAGGACCTAGAGGATATTATTCTAAGTGAAATAAGTCAGACAGAGAAAGAAAAATACCATATGATCTTACTTATATGTGGACTCTATAGAAAAAAATAAACAAACAAACAAAACAAAAATTGACTCATAGATACAGAGAACAAATTGGTGATGGCCAGACGAAAAGGGGATTGTCGGGATAGGTTAAAAAGGTGAAAAGATCAAGGCATGCAAATTGGTAGTTATAAAAATTGTCATGGAAATGTAAAGTACAGCATAGGGAATATAATCCAATGCAAACTCTGCTTTAGTAGGTCTTAAGCAGGGCCTGAGATTCTGTATTTCTACCAAGCTCTTGTGTCATACCAAAACTTCTGATCTGATATACACTTTAATTAAAAACAGACTAGAAGACACACAATAAAAATATCTGTGTAACATTTTACACTTCATGAAGTCCTTTCACATCCATCATATCTAATTTTATCATCCCCACAACCCTGTAGTGTAGGTATTATTGTCCCCATGTTACACATGAGGAAGTCAAAGCTAAGTCAGAGAGGAGAAGTCATTAGTCCTAGTGAAAACACATAGTGTCAGGCCAGCCCCAAGGTGTCCTGACTCCAGAATCTGTGCTTTCGCCACTGAATAGTGGTTTTCACCCTTGGCTGAAGATTTGAATAATCTGAGGAACTTTTAAAACTCCAGATGCATAGGTCACACCCCAGACTAATGACAACAGGATCTCTTGGTGTGTAACCCAAATGTCAGTATTTTTGGAATCACCAATTCCACTGCACAACTAAGTTTAAGAATCATTTCACTAGAGCAGTGGTTCTCAGAGTCGTCCCCAAACTAGCAGCATCAGCATCACCTGAGAACTTGTTAGGAATGCAGATTCTCTGGCCCACTGCATACCCAATGAATCCAAAACTCTGGGAATGAGGAATCCAAGAATCTGGGTTCTGATGCACTTCAAGTTTGAGCATGGGCTTGAAAAGGACCATCTTGACTTCATGCATGGAACATAGGGTTGGGGAAACAAAAGCACACTCTATATCCAGGCATAAAATTAGGTCAGGTACCACACAACTGAAATCAGCCTCCTAATGCATATACCAAAGAATAAGTATATTCTCAGGCTGGCAACCGAAACACCAGATCCCCACACCACAGCCTTTCTGATCCTTTGTAGGGGAGACATCTGCCAAAAGTTCTCTCAGACTATCAAAATATACTGGAATATACATTGTCTCCAACTCTGCACTTTGCTCCAGTCCCTCACTGAAAACATTAACCTCGCTCATTTGTGCTCTCAGCTGAACTAAGTAAATAAGCTTCTAATCACTCTTCTCCCCACCCCTCTCTTCTTGGTATCCAAGATGAGAGTAGCAGGCAAAGGTTAGTTCTAATGTGCCCAAGCAGATGGATTTAGAACCTAAAATAGGAGTGATCTACACAACCGCCCTCCTTGAGCCCATCTCACATGCCTCAGCAATGCTGCCTCCCTTTGCCCTAACCCTAGAGCTGAGAAATGGAAAATTCTACAACCTAACATTAAAGCAGACACTTTCTAATGCAGCCCACCTCCTCTTTTCCTGTCCTAGAGATACCTCAGGTCTACAGGAATAAGAAAGTCAAGGCTGGCAGCCACTACTCATGACCAGAAACATGGCCTGGTGTGGTTGCAGAAAAAGGTCTCAATGAGTATACACAACAAGAACAGGTTTAGATGGAGATGGGCTCTATTTCAGATGGAATGAAGGGTATTAACACTTCTTGGCTTTTTTTCCTGCCCCTCTGAATCCTCAACTAATTGAGTTCCGAGGGGTAAGAAATAAGGAAACAGGACATCCTATTTGAGAGAATTAGAATCTGAGATGTTAGGAAGCAAAAGATAAGAAAGAGCTTAAATGTGTGGTAACTCCCCTGAAAGTATGCTGGACACTGAAATAGCTTGCCTGCCCTCACTTTCCACTTTAACTGATTATGATCATCTTGCTTGATTAAAAGCAGTCATAATAGTAACTTAATTAGTTATTAAGCAAATGCTTAATTAAGCTGAGACTAGTTGTTAAGCTAATACTTGAGGCTGAGAAAGAAGTGGAGATTTAACATCAAGCTATGGAGGAAGAAAAAATATGATTAGAGTAAAGTATATCTTCTGCCAAACAGGAGACCTGCTGAATGCTACAGTCCCTCCAAAGTCCATGAAGCATCAGTGAAAGGAAAGAGCCTGGTGAGACAGTGTGCAGCAGGTACTTGTGAGTTGTCTAGTAACTTGGTTGTTGTAGGGGGAGGGACTAGCTCAGGGCCAAGGAGGAGGTCTGCACTGGGACTACTGCCTTCAGAGGGCTGGAGAGGCAAGAAGCTGAGGACTAAAAAAGAGAGGGTGAGTGATTCTTAATAACCAGCAGGATCCCAAAGATGGCAAGTTGCCAGCCTGAACTGCCAGTGATGGCCAGAACTGTGCTGCAGCTCTGAATCCACAGCTCCTTCTTCTCCAGCCATTGAGAATTCGAGCTAGAGAGCCAGCATGCTCTGTTAAGTGGAAATCCTGCCACTTCAAGACATGGAGTCATCTTTCTCATTTGGAGTGATCCTTGCTGTTCTGGCCTCCCTTATTATTGCTGCTAATGCCCTAGTGGCTGTGGCTGTGCTATTGTTGATCCACAAGAATGATGGTGTCAGTCTCTGTTTCACCTTGAATCTGGCTATGGCTGACACCTTGCTTGGTGTGGCCATTTCTGGCCTAGTCACAGACCATCTCTCCAGCCTGGCATGGCCCACACAGAAGACCTTGTGTACTCTTCGGATGGCATTTGTCACTTCCTCTGCAGCTGCCTCTGTCCTCACGGTCATGCTGATTGCCTTTGACAGGTACCTTGCCATCAAGCAGCCTCTCCGCTACTTCCAGATCATGAACGGGCTCATGGCTGGAACTTGCATTGCTGGGCTATGGTTGGTGTCCTACCTCATCGGCTTCCTCCCACTCGGAGTTACAATATTCCAGCAGACCACTTACCAGGGGCCCTGCAGCTTCTTCGCTGTATTTCACCCACGCTTCATGCTTACACTCTCCTGTGTTGGCTTCTTCCCAGTTCTGCTCCTCTTTGTCTTCTTCTACTGCGACATGCTCAAGATTGCCTCTGTGCACAGCCAGCAGATTCGAAAGATGGAACACACAGGAGCCGTGACTGGAGCTTACCGGCCTCCACGGAGTCCCAGTGACTTCAAGGCTGTCTGTACTGTGGCGGTTCTCATTGGGAGCTTCACTCTGTCCTGGACCCCATTCCTTATCACTGGCATTGTGCAGGTAGCCTGCCAGGAGTGCCACCTCTACCTAGTGCTGGAACGGTACCTGTGGCTGCTTGGTGTGGGCAACTCCCTGCTCAACCCACTCATCTACGCCTATTGGCAGAAGGAGGTACGTCAGCAGCTCTACCAAATGGCCCTGGGAGTGAAGAAGGGGCTTACCTCATTCCTCCTCCTTCTCTCAGCCAGGGATAATGGCCCAGAGGAGTCTAGGGAAAGTTCCTGTTACATTACCACTATCTCCCACTCACAGCTTGATGGCTAAAAGGGTAAGGGCAAAGAAGTTTCAAAGTGCCTTCTCTGTCCCCTCTCTGGGTCCCAACTAGAAAATTAGAGGAAACTAGGGGGATGAGAGCACTTACTTCAGGCCATTGACACCCCCAGACCCCCTTGCCCCAGACTGAGAGGTAACTAACGCATGGTACTAACTTTCTTCCATAATCAGTTTCCCCATTTGCAAATCTCCATTCCTCCCTGTCCTTCTCTTGCAATGAGTCTGTTTCTCCTGTACAGGTATACTTAAAGCAAGAAATGTACTACTGTAAAGATGCTTAAAAGTCAAATCCTACATTTGAATACACTAGAGCAGCACCATCCAATATATGTGAGTCACATATGTCATTTTAAATGTTCCAGTAGCCACATTAAAAGGTAAAAAAGAAACAGCTGAACTTAATGTTAATATTTTATTTAACCCAATATATCAAACCATTATTTCCTGTAACCCAATATAATTATTACACCATTTTTTTCATGCTAAATCTTTTACGTCTGTTGTATATTTTACCCTTACAGAACATCTCAATTCAAACTAGCCATATTTCAGTGCTTGACAGCCACATGTGGCTAATAGCTACCATATTGAACAGCACAGCACTGAAGAAATGAGGTTTTGTTCTTTTTAACTGTTTACTATAGTGATTGCTTTGGTAAAGTGAGGAGTCCTGCACCTCCTTCCAATGTAAATCAGACATTTTTAGTGAGTTAACATAAAATGTAGAAACATGTATTAAATTCCAAAGCTTGTTGTTTCCCCCACTTCACAGTATTCAAAAACAGTTTCTTTGGGAAATAACCTATCGCGTGATTATTTCTGCTATTACCCCTCTCAATCCACCACCTTTCTAACTCTGTGGCCCTCAGCTGGCTTCTTACTTCACTTGTAGGTACTTGCTGATGACAATGCTGAACCACAAATTCTGAGACACTAGAAGGGAAGGAAGAGGGAAAAGGGGTAGTTACCAAGAAAGACACTGCCAAGCTGTCCACACTGGACCCACTTTGCTCCTCAGAGCTTGACCTTATTCCATTTACTCTCAAACTTTCATTTTCCTAAGAAATTCAGTCGCATAAGAGGATGTGTCTAAAATGGCTCAGGAGACCAGCTGAGGAGCCAGTGCCTCTTTCTGCTTTCTGTGGGTACAGAAAAATGACTGTGAGCAGCTGGGAATTATGCTCAAAAGCAGAGTGGAGAAGTAACCCAAGAACTACCCTCAGCCTTCCTGAGCTTTCCTGTAACCCTTTCCTCAACCTCCTGGTCTCCATACTGGATTCCTATAAAATTTATTTCTTAAGGCCCCAAATTAAATTATCTCCCTGGAAAGCTGCTGAATGGACAAGAGGGCAAGAAGAAACCTCAGCAGTATGGATTAATGTGTCTGGGATTTGGTGCCAAAACAACCTTGGAAAGTTAACTCCTCAGTATCTCTAAAATGATGGTCTGAGGATGCATTTGAGTCCAATGTGTAATGGCTAATTCCAAGAGCTCTGTGAACATTTTTACTCAAATCTCAAACTATAATGTTCAGAATCTGGATGGAATCTGGCCATCCTCCTCTCAAAAGGATGGCACTACATCATGATGCTTTGCACTGGGTTTTCATTCCCCTTCAATCATAGATTAACTCTCAGTTTGCTTTCCTTCAGTTGTTCATAAGTTAATGATCATCCTTTTCAATATCCGTACTCTTGAAAATTCCCTTCTCCCTATTTTCACCCTATACTTTCAACACAAAAAGCCTGTTTCTCACTAACCTATTCTAATACACATCAACTCTACTTTGGTAGATCTTTCTTTAGGCAGTTGCTCTGCTTACCACTCTGGTCTAGAGGAGGACCATTGCTTGCTTTCACCATAGTAGGCTTTATGTTCCTACAACTAAAGAACTTTTTGACTCTTGAGTGCATGATGGAAGCCAATATTATTTGAGGTGCTGAGTACCTAGCAAGTATCAGTTATGCTAGCAATAAGACACACTCTTGAATTGGGTAATGAGTTACTGGGAACTAGGTAAAACACAAACAGTAACTGGGTTTTTGGATAAAACTGAAGGCAGGCTCAAATCATGTCCTCCTTATTGGTGATTCAAAGCTTAATTTTCTGGCCTTGCTGCAAAGAACTAATCTTGCCAAGGTAACACAAGCAAAGTAGAATGGAAATTAGTTACAGGAGAAAGGCAGAACTTGAGGGGAGCCTCGGTGATTGTTGTGTTATTAGGTTCAGTCTGAGAAACCCTGTTATTCCTAGGAGTCAGTGTGAGCAGTAGAAAAATAAAAAGCTTTGAAGTTTAACAGATCAGAGTTCAAATGATGATTCAGTCATTTAAGTTCTCAAAGCTACAGGTCCCTCATTTGTAAAATTGGGGTAATAGTACCTACCTTATATAGTTATAATGAGAATTAATTCCAATACTGTATGTGAAAAATGCCTAGTAAACTTTTAACAGCACATTATTGGTGCTCAGAAAATGTTCTCTTCCTCTTCCTTAAAAATCCTGAAGAATAAAACCTCCAGCTGACCAATTTAAGGGAGTGCATCACATCTGAGGACATTATGACCTCCTGGACAAGGAGAATTAGCCTCTGAACTGTGAATTCCTTAACACCTGAATAAGATTTTTGAAAATGAGTGATGAGATATGATTCAGGTTGTAAAACACAAACAGTATATCTAATACCTTAGCGGGATCAATACAGAGCAGATACAACTAAGACAGTACTATCAAACACTTGAGTTTAAGAATAACTACAATTAAAAAACACTGTTTAAAAAGCCACCAAGAGCAGAGATGCAGAATGCAAAAATCTGATAACTTTCTTTGATGTGGGCTTCTTCACAGACAAGAGAATGCACTGGAGAAGAAACATTTCAATTTCATTCAAGCATCCAGTGTTGTCTCCAGATAGACTTGCAAAAAAGCCAGATCCTGTTAAGCAATTTGATCAAAATAGCCAAAAGATATTAAGACCTTCTAAGACAAAATGTATGTCAATCAATCCCACTTAAAATTTCCATGAACAGCTTATCATAATTTTTTTATAAAAACTAAGTTTTATATTGATTCCTCGGGTAGCTAACGTTATACATAGCACACTTCAGTTTCAGAGGACTACTCTTAAAGACATAAGAACACACAGCACTCTGTACAGGACATTTTAAATGGTCTCACAAGTGTTAGAGGCAGGTTTCTCTGATCCACCAACACTCTCCTGCTTGTCCACATGACCAATAAGCCATCTCTTGAGAGATGGCCAGCCAGAGTTAGCTTTGAGATAACTTTTCCCTATATGGAGAATTGTTCACTGATTCAAATGGGAAATGAACTTGTGACTTTGATTTCATTCTCACTTAGTCACTGGCCAAACTGAATAGAGACCAGTGAAAGCAGCAGGCATGAGAGATACTTCAAGGACCCACACAGAACAAAAGGATATATGGTACTGATAGCTGGGCAACAAGAGCAGCAATGGACCCAAGGCCATACCACAACTCTTTGACTGCCATTAGCCACTCACTTATTTTGTGACTCCTTTAGTGACTTCAAACTGCTGACTGATCTAGAATCTTCTTTTAATTACAAAATCTTCATTTGTTATTTCTGCAGTCATATCAACTCAATGATGTTCCCTACAAGTGTCAATTGTCATTCATTCATTAGTCTATCCATCTGTCTACCTACCCCACAAACATTTATTCAGAGCTAGGTACTAAAATTGCCCCAGCTTTGCTGGGATTTCTGTTAGAGTTATATATTGATGTAGGTATGATTTTCATTATTCTTTTTCTAATTATAAAAGCAATTTTTGCTCATTTTAGAAATTTTTGAAAATATATAATGGTACCCATAATTGTACCATCCAGAGATGATCACTGTTATTCTTCATCTGTTTTCTTCATTTAACCTTATATTGTGCATTTTTTCTTGTCATTTTTTCTTCAAAAATATGACTTGTAATGGTTGCATTTTTTTAACATGAGTATATATTTTAACCATTTCCTAATAGTTGTACATTTTATGTTATTTACAATTTCTCACCGTTGTAATACCACTATAAATACCCTTGTATATAAATCTTTGGCACATCTGTTTAATTCCTTAGAATAAATTCTCCACAGCAGTATTACTAGGTCAAGGAGCATTAACCATTGATAAGAATTCTGATTCATATTTTTGCTGGAATTTCTTGAAGTGTAAAGATTCCCTAGGATATCTGTTGAGAAGTCAAAAGTGAGCCATAAATGAACATCCCACACTGATGTGAATATGTCAAAAAAATTAAAAATGCATGGCTTCCTGAAAGCATAAGCCATGCTCAGGGAAGTTACCCGGTTGTTTTTTACAAAAGGAAACCTATTGATATGCCCTACTGCTAGAGTTAATCTGCAAATTTAGAAGTTTGGACTAATGGGACACAGCAGTTTAAGAATGACCCTCACAGTACAACTACATCATCAGTACAGTGTTGTGTGACATCCAGATATTGATTTCAATGTGTTTTCACTCTTAAAATTTTTTGAGGTAGTTGCTTTGTGCAATGCCATAAAATGGTAAGGCATGAGACTATGAAAACATGATCACATGGAGCCAGGAGACAGGTTTTGATGCAGTTGGGCCTCGAAGCCATAGACTTGCAGCCTTGTTGAAAAGGAAAGATGAGCTCCACCTAACAGATAAACTGTGTCAGGGTAAAGTGCATGATAGTTTAACAGGCTACTACCCAGCTGTATGTCCCCTGGATTTACAAGCTGTTGGAACCATAATCAGCTACTGGGCTCAAAAAGTCCTCTCATGAGGAGTCCTAGAAATGACCAATGCAACTGCTAAAGGTCTCAGATTCCGTTTTAATACACAAAGTAGTGCCTATTTCTTTCAAAACACCTTCTATACAGTGGGGCAGGCAGGATTCATTTGTTCCAGAGCACTAGAGGGACGAAAATCATGTAAGACCAAGAGCCTGAGGGAGGGGGGTCTCATTTATTTGTTTAGGTTTGTTTTTATTTGATGTGTCACCCAATAATCCCATGATTGAATCATATTTCCCATTTACTATAATAAATCCACATCAGTTCCAGT